GGACCCTGCTGCTACCCCCTGCTCTTTGTTTATTTTACAGAAGCATCAGATTTCGAAGATAACTCTCGTTACAACTCAGAGTCCTTAGGAACAGGATTTCCACACGCACACACACAAAATAGAAACGATGCAACCTTTCTTAACAGTAAGCAAAGCTGGTGGTCTTCAAGAAGGGAAGGCTGTGGGAACCGAGGGTTTCTTGCACACGCACACACACACACACACCATGTTCTGTGAATGCCCACTTGAAGTTTGCAACAGCACAAGTGTAAAAGTTTTTCTGCAAATGATGTTGCAATGTTGCATTGTGTTTCGTTGTCTGAAAAAGGCGTCACTGCTCCAGCCGGTCCAGGCCCGACTTTAGACCCATCGGGGCCGTGTACTGTCCGCATACCCTGTATAACGGTACAGACTCGCATGCTTGCAAGTCATGCTCTTCCTACTTTGCGGCTTCGTAGTGCAGGTAGCATGCTGTTGGCTCACAATTTCCAGAGCTCAGCGCGGACGATAACAGCAGGGCGACAGGGTCGGAACCCAGTTGGCATCGTAGAGAGTGCCGACAACGAACCAGATCCCGCGCCACCCAGTTCGTCTATGTTCGTCTAGAATGCAGCAGAACACGCGACGAAGACGTTCCGAGACGTTGGGCCCGGCCTCTTTGGTTGGATACGGCCCCTTGGAAAGGAGACAAGGGCAGCGGAAAGGGAGCAGGCAAAAACCAGGTGCGGGTTCCGGAAGGGAGCGATCTCGCACCGCCAGTGGGCACACCCAACATTTCATTGCCGAAGAGCGCATTCCAATGCGGCAGCCACCGACCAAAAGAAACTGACTAGAGCATTGATGGCTCGAAGCAGGAGCCACCTTGATGTGCGCATAGCGGGAAGGAGACGCCAAGACTAAAGGAAAGCTACTGCATCAGCAAGTAGCGGCGGACGGAGGCAAGAACTGCATTGCAAAAGCTTGCTGGGGATCGCCGTATGCTTATGGACGCTTTGCAGAATGCGTTGCCGGCGTTGCGGGCATGCTCAAAAACAGGCATCCGACATGCAGGATAGACATTGCAGGAATGTCGGCAAGCCGAGAAGTCCTGGCAGCAGCGACTGCCGGAATCCACCTGTTTGATTGGCCAGAATCAGAAAGAATGGTGCGCAAAATTAGCCCCAGGAAGAGCAAGCGATGCAGGAGGACGATATGCCGTGGTAAACGAGGCCGCCACGGAAGTTGCCAGACGAGAGATACAGGAGGAGAATCGAGAAGAACCCAGCTAGAGCTGATTCAGGCATTGGACAAGGCCAAAGCGGCTGCGGAGGGTCAGGACACTTTCGTAAGCGACTGGCGCGGGGGTGGGATTTTCCAAACAGCTGCACTTCAGACCGGAGGAGCTCCTGGGTCTGGAGTTTGGTTCCATGGACCCCAAGTTGCGCGAGGGCAGGCTCGGCGAATGATGAGCTGTGGGATGGTTGTGTTTCCCACGCCCAGCTGACCAAGTTGCACTGCAGTGAAACAGTGAAGGATGCAAGTTCCGGGTCAGCCAGGAAAAACACCAGAACCAACTGACACCCGTAAGTAAGAGAGGAGAGCAACAGCGCAAAACTCGCGGATTTAGCCCGAACCAACACCCCAAAAAGCTGCAGAGTCTCGTGACCCAGCTTCCCAGATCTGGACGCATATGTACACTACGGTACATCTGCCCCTAGAAGGAACAACGTGAACAACAACAGACAATACCTCAGGAGCCTCGGGAACATTCAAAACAAAACATGACTAGTTGCCGGGCACTGAGGGTTCGAAAAGGATCGCATACAGAGCACTAATTCACTCATCGCTCGCGTCTGCTCAGACCCATCTCCCTTTTGGCAAGCTTTGATCAAAAATTACAGCATGCGTCGTAACTTTGTTCAGAAATGCCCAGAAAGATCAGTCGCACACTTGGGCATGGATGGCCGTCCACCCGTGCTCAGGTTCCTGTTGTGACTCCTCAGGTGCGACGGGTTATATATGTTGTGCGGTTAACAGAAGATGTTGCCGAGCAGCCTGTGACTTCACGACTTGATGACTTGATGCAGTGTACAGTTCCTAGATGTTGCTAGAGAATGCTTGTTTCCATTGCAGGATTCGCCCAGGGAGCTGGTGCACAGTGCACACTTCCATACAAGATGTCTTCAGTCGCATGCCGGCTTACTGCGCTTGTATGTTGACGCATCGTTTGAATCTGTTGTCGGGCGGGGATCGAACTGGCAATTCGTCGGGTACTTCGTGGACCAGGTGTATGCAACGAGTCATATGATATGGCTTGGCAATGACGAGATTAGTGCGCACGCTGCAGAACTCGCGTCGGCATGTGAAATCGCGTACGATGCGACTGCTGCCGGTGTGGCCGCAGGCATGTTTGAGTGTCAAGCAGTGGCCGCGCTCTCACAAGCAGCCACGTCACTGGCAGTTCGGGCGTGGCTTTGCGTAGCGCGGCTGGGATTCCAACCAACCAGCCGATGTTGCAACCAAAGCCTCTTTTAGGATGCCATGCTTTGCCGCAGCGCACTTAGACAAGCCGATGGCAAAGATTGTCTTAGTGCAGGTGCGAGACTGGTTGTGGTTTGTAGCATGTCAGCAGGGCCCCTGCCGCTTGATGTCGAAAATTCTCAAACATGCTCTCGAGCCAACCCATGCTCCCTATACTGACAGGTCATGGGCGGGTGCTCCAGCACGCGTGCTGGTTAGGCACTGAAACTTGTCACTTACAATGCCTTAACCTTGCAGTCGGAGGCGCGCGGGCAGGCCTTGGATGAGATGTTTGCCAGAGACGGCGTGCATTGTGTCGGCATACAGGAATTCAGGTTTGGGGCTTCGTTGGCACATGCTGTCCCTGTCATTGCACTGTAGGCGCACAAAGTACCGGCTGGTACCAAAAACCAGAAGCACAGCGACGCCGAGCGCGCATCGCGGGAAACCATGCACAGACTTGATAAGCTCCAACATCCTGGTTTCCAGACCTTGGTCGCCCCTGGTCTGCCTTACTGCCAAAACGCCGACAAAACTCCAGCCTAGTTCTGCTACGGTACGAGCTGCTAGGCTCCGCGACATGAACTTCACATCTCAAACTAGCGTGTACATGTACAAATTTACTACATCAGACAAACCAGTAACCCCTGGCTGGGAAAAAGTCCTTCTCCTTTGCGATAAGCAGTAGCCTCGACTTGTTCGAAGCAACAAGCCCACTTTGAGTTGACAGTCCTGCCTGCTAAACTCTGTGGGCATTGATGCCAGCGTCTTGTAGTCGCCCTGTGCTCGGCAGGGACAAGCACAAAACGAAGGAGGAGGATCAGGCGAAGAGAGTGAGACGGAAAACTTCAAGACTTCAAACACTAGCACGTGGGGATGAACCTTGCGCATGCCCCCTGGCCACGGCCAAGAGCTTGATTGCAATTGTAATGCATCAGAATCTCACCTTGAAGTCTCATTGCCGACATCTTGCAGATTCAGCCCCGCGGGCATTAAGCCCGACAGCGTTTCGCAGGCGTCTAGGGGGATGGAGAAAGCTGTTGAACGTAATCGACGGAAACTGTCCCCCCGATTACTACTGTTCAACAAAGGTCGTAACAACAAAGGTAGACAGCCTAGCGACCTCACTGCCTTTGCAACTTTATGCTTCACGAGGCGAGGCAGTGTACTGCACGGAAAAGTAGGAGGGCTAGTTCAAGCACACAAGACGTGCAACGGCAAACGACATTCCGATTTGCGACCTTTACGTATTCCAGCCCTTCGGGAAACCTAGTCCGTCATCAGATTGCCAAAGGGCTTAGTACTTTGATCCGGCAACGCATGGGAAAAAACTACTCTCTCTCCGTCTCGTGCTGTTTGACGGACTGCGACACAAAACACAGCGATGTCGTTATGTTTACAATGAAATGCGTGAACTGGAACTACCGAATCTGCAAGGACTTGACATGTAGCGCCAATTCATCTGAAATTTCTGGTTTGCCGAGTTGTTGTGTGTGTGTGTGTACATAATCGTCCGCATGGCCATGTTGCAATACGATAGCAGATAGCAGCTGGACATAGCAGTTGCACCACGAACGAGTCTCCATTCAGCATGAGCAAACGAGGAATAAACTGAGCCAAGACTGTATGCAATGCTCCGCAGAAGGACAACTCAAGCCAGCCAAATGTTCCACACAACCACTTGAACGACCACGAACCATCAAGACCACGATCGAGCAGGACTGTGCGGAACCACGAAGTTGTTGCCAGGAAAGGATCATTCCACCTCAAACACGTGTTGTAACGAACGCGGGGGCGTTCCGAAACTTTCAGCCCTCAGCACATGTTCCTGTAGGACCATCGGAGAAAGGACAACCACCGTTCCCTGTCACCATATTATATAAATTGGACAGAGCTTCGAGTGACAAGGCAGGACTGTCAAAGACTTTGGAAAATCCCGGCTCGTGTGGCCCAGACAACAGGCCGCATGGCTTAACTGCCTGAAACAGGGGCACTGCTCACCAGTCACGGCCTCCAATGAGGACTGCTGCTGCAAGGTTGAGGCAGCTGCTCACTTGACTGGCGAAGTCCCGGCCTACACGGCCACCTCGCCTATTTCCGGTTAGGGTTTGACTTTCTGCAACATCCTCAAGACCCACCTTGGACAAGTGCCGGCACGTCCCGGTTTACGAACCATATGCCCTACTCCCGATTCGGGTGAAGCAGTGGGGACATCCAGAGCCAACGCGAAGCAATGTAATGTAATTATGGATGAATCAACTTCATCATACTACTACCTGCGATAAATGCAGTTGCGGTGCGGAGACAGACAAGGAGAGAGAGGAGCGAAGATACAGGATAAGATACATCCAGACACGAGGCCCGGTGAACACAGCTGCTCTACGCCAGCCTGCTCGAAAACGGTTCCATTTCGAAGGACAACGATGCTGTCCATCCTTGGCTTGGTTCACCCGTAAAGCGTTGTGGTTCATGCAGAGATCGGGTACCCAGGCGGACCGAGGACAGAGAGAGCCTGCGTTGCCAGGACCACCGTCCTGTCTTTGGCCTTCCGAACCTCTTGGAAAAACAGAAAACGTTCTCACACGGGCACTCTGGAGCGCTGCGGCTTTCCCGGGCAGGCACCAAGTTGGAGAGAGCCCGCTTCGCTCTTTCGAGCTCCATGGAAACAAACGGTTCATCCAGCAACAAGATCTCGGCCTGCCAGCTCCAATCAGCCGGAGATGTGGTGCTGAGACGCTCAAGGCCGCCTCGACATAGAGCGCACGCGCCAGCTGAAGAGCGCTTCGTGCAGCAGCACCTCTCGGAGGGACAGGAGCTGAGGCTCTCCCAGCGCATGCAACCAGAAATGCAACGACTGGGGCTTCTGGCTCAATGCTTCCGGAAAGCTGCTGTCGCCGACTTCCAAAGCGGGGAGGTCCTCTGCTCGTCAACACGAAGCGAAGCAACATGCAGCCCGTGCTCCGCCGATAACGGATAGGTTGCCTACAGTTGTTACATGTTTTTACCATAGTTGATCGGGTTAAGCTGCCTTGCAAAATATTTGGGTTTCCGAGCGGGCACCAGGCATGCACGGCTGCTCTTCAACCGATCTGAATCGCACAGAGCTGGCGAAGGAACCAATCACTATGCCATTGAAACTCATACCGTGTGGATTCTAAAGCTGCGAAGCGAAGCTCGTGTTGAGCTTTGTTCTGGCTTCGACCGCTTTCCACAGTGACCCCTCAGCTAGCTTTAGCTGAGCTTTCCCATAGCTTATCTTTAAATCTAACATGTACGTGTAGCTGTGTGTCCAAAGCACTGTCGTCTTAACTCTACACTGATGCCTGAACACAGCAGGGTTGCTGAAACTGCAGAGTCAAGCGTCGATGAGACTCACCACTGGTGTGGCTTAGTGCGAAGAGAGAGACAGGCCGTTTGGGATGTGCAAGACAAGTGCAAGTCCTCTGACAAGGTGGACATCACCAGGACTTGCTCATACCTGCCCGGGCGGAGCGAAGTGGTTCGAGCCCTGAGCGCACGAAACTGCGGCCTGTGAGCATCCCAAGTAGAACCGAAAACGACATTGTCGCGGATGCTGCTTCCACTCAAGACCGCCGGCTGTTGCGGAGCGTAGGCGCACCTTGCGGGCAGGAGCGTCGGAAGAAGTGCTCTATGTAGGACAGGCACAGCTCGCTGCCTGCCAGACAGGAGAATGCCCGTCTCTTCCAAGTCTTCTCCCCAAAGCTCGGCTTGGCAGCCTGCCAGGAAGCTCAATCCGCACACGCACTTCAAAGTACAATGCTCAGCATGGTAGCTGATGTTCATGAGCGCCTCCTACCAAGCCCGCCAAAAGAGTTGACCTGGGCTTCACAGGACATCACCATTCGCTTCTGGCTCTCAAGGAGAAAGCTTTTACCTGATGCCGGTGTTGGGTAAAACTGAGAAAGCTGCTTGCCAGAGCCTGCAGCTCCCACTAATGCGATGTGAGAACCTGTGACCACATATGTCGCAAGTTCCGCAAAAATTCGATCCTGCCTCGCTTGACTTGCAGCGACAGCACCTGGAGGAGTGACTGGGGCTCGATCTCACTCCGCGACTGAACTCTCCTGGATCCTGGAGCCTTCACATCAAAGCCAGCCGATCCATGCCTGTTCTTTGCAGCCGAAAACTCTTCTTCAATGGAACACACACCGGGCAGCCGGGCGTACTTCGCTTCGCTCTCTCAGCCACCGAGGCATCGTCCGTTACCGAATCCACGAGGCTCAGGCCGTTCCCAGCCTATCAACGAAGAGAAGCAGGCGTCGCAGTGGTCACAGGGGAGACATCCTCACCTTCTGGGCCTTCACGCTGGCCGTGAGCCCTGTAGACTTGCGAAAGAGATCTGGTGCCCGTGCAGCTAAGGACTGGCCGGTCTTGGCCGGTTTTTTGGGACTCCAGATTTCCTTTCGTATTCTCAGGAACATTAAGGCATTAAGGCGCTCACCGGCAGGCTTGGGAGGTGATGGAAGAGACGAAGCCTGGCGTTGCATGCTGAACGACTTGGAGCACCAATCTCACTGTTTGGGCTTTGCCAGTGGCGCGCCTCTTTGGGTCCTTCCAGATTCGGCCAGAAGAAACGCATGCCCTCAACAGCCTCAGCACAACACCTTTCACTTGAAGCTTTTCTCAGCACAAACACGAAGACCCAGGATCTGGCCACAGCAAACCGTGATGTCTTGTACAAGGCCGGCGTGCCCTTTGCACTCTGCAGAGGGACTCTTTTATTTCATGACGTGGCCGTGGCAGCGCATGGCAGGGCCTGCTTTGGCACCGGGCGTGGAGGTTTGACAGAGCCGCCAAGAGCAGCTGCCTGAGAGCCCATCAGTGGGCTCAGCGGCCCAGGCACCACTGGCGCTGGGTTCCAGACAGCCGTCGGCCAGGCAGTCAGAAGGATGCGCAGGACCTGCTGCAACAAGAATAAGACAAGTGCAACAAAGGCTTCTAAGAATCGCATGAAAGAAGTGGTTGCTTTGAGAACAAGCGGGCAAGCACCTGCTGCAGCTGCTGTGCCAGCAGCCTGCCGACAGACTGCATGCGAACACCACTGGCTCGACAGATGGGATGCCTGCAAGCTGCCAAGGCTTGGAAACACTCCCACAGCGTCGGTGGTCGGACGACCTGAGAAGAGTCATAGAAGAGTCCTGCAAACATCTGCCAATAGGGTTTCTGCCATTTCGAAGCTCGGCCGGCTCGGCTCCGAGCCAGCCAGTGCAAGGCCAAGGAAGCAAGGCACGCCCAGATTGTGGCTGCCGAGCGCACTGCGAGCCTCGGTACTGACAGGTGGTTACCATCAGACTTTCGAGTGAAAATTCCTGTCTTCGGGGCTTCGCTTCCCTCTTGGGCTTCGGGCAGTGTGGCATTGGATCGGGAGGCCCGGTCCTGCAATCGCTGCTCCTCCACGCGGAGTCGGCCCAGGCGCTGAAAGACCGCAGCCTCCCAGCCAAAGCACTTCACCTGGCGCGAGCCTGTCTCTCGTGTCTTTCCCGAGCTGTCTTTCCCTTGATGCACTCAGACGGCGGCAGTGGCAGAAGCACACTTCAGGTCAGAAAGGAAAGCGCAAGACAGCTCCTCGAGAGCCGGGACTAAGAAGCGAACACTCCGTCGGAACGCTGCTAGGCCAGGCTTCTCCTCTCTCCGACACCGAAGCTTTCCCACCGCCTGAACCCACTTCGGCACACGGCGCTTCAAGATGACCTGCCAAGCAGACCCTGCTTTCTCCCTGCAAGAACACTCCGTATACAGGAACAAAGCGGAACGAACCAAACAGTCTACTTTGTTCAATGCGTGCTGCAATGCCTTTCATCAAACCCGAAGCATGACATGCCGCAACCATCCAGCCTCCACTGCTGTGGCCATCACAACTAAGCTTACGCCAGCTGTAGCAGCAACGCTTGTCGCACCCACGAGGAGGGCCGCGGACAAGGCACTGCCCAAGACGGGTGCCACAAGTCGAAGCCTGAAAACTCGAGTGTTGCCGAACACACAGCTGAGCTTTCTTCCATGACCGGCTGGAAAATATTGTTCCCGTCCTGCAGCGCTTGGTGAGCGCAGCGACCACTCGGCGGCTTGCCGCCGGCAGGGGCCCTCCGCACACCACGGCCCGATAAAAGAGCCGAGAGCGGAGAGCCAAGGCCACCTCCCAGCCGCGAAACGCGATGACAGCTTGAGCGGGATACATGATTGTGACGACGTATCCCCAGCCCTTGTCATCCTGCCAACGGCAACCAGCACAGAAGTGCCATACAAGCACTTTTTGGCCGTTGATCAAGAATGCACTGCTCTTGTGAGGAGCGTCTGACCGTACCATCATCACGTACTTCGAGCTTCCTGAATAATCGCTATTGAGTGGAATGGCGACATCATGCCAAGGAT